ACCTCTATGGTGGTAAGTGGTAACTATCGAAAAACTCGATTAAATTTGATGTTTTCAAATCCGAAAATGGATATAAAAATAAATCGTTTGTACTGCAATTGTCATGGAATTAAAATTAAAAACGTTGAGACAGAAATKTATAATTGATGATTATCAGAAACTAAAAACTATAGGTACATTTATTTACCAGATTATTTCTTGCTATTTCGATTATTAATTCTCAACGCCACACATCGAACATGTAGCTGAGAACCACTGAAAAATGCTATGATTGTGGAACTTTGAAAACGACTGATAAGTGATAACCGATGATAGCGTCAMGCCGTCACTGGTCACTGCCGTCTGYCTCACTGGCCGCTGGATCCAGTGGGTTGTGGACTTGTGGTTGTGGACCCTGGTTGATTGTTCAATTCAACGAATGTGAAATAATATATTAAACTAAGATTTATTATCTCTAATTTATTTACCGTAAATCGGTTGCTGCACGGAAATGTCAGAAACTTATYAAATTAGACAGAAATATGAAAGTACAAAAATAACGGACATAAATTATTCAATATACTTATTTATATTATTTTATTTTACTACCAACGAGAACATTATTTATTATTATTAATTGTCAAACAAAACGGTTGTTTTCGAAATCCAAGTATATCTAACTATACTAGCCAATAGGTTGTTTATGATCAAAATTGTAAATTACCAATAATTTTTATATTTTTTTATTAAATAATTGTGTACATACCAATATACCATAATATGTCGATGATTTCACGTAGTACACTCATTATTTCTAAAATGATACTGAAAAAAGCTTGTTTATGTTTWCTATTAACGGTTTTGAAAATAATTTCTTTATATAATTTGAAAACATTAAACTACTCGCAGAGTAGTCAAGTGCGTACCTTGACTACCCACAATAAAACTTACTATCATATAATATTTCATATACATATAAATAATAAATTAGGTGATAATCGATACTGCTACTAAGTGCTACATAGTATTTATAATTAATTCTGGGTTCTGGGATGAATTCAGTCTAGCTTCGAAGCGATGTTTGAGAATATTTTTTTTAAAACGTATTTTAACGTTCTTTATATAATAGTAATTTCAAAAAAAATTTAAAATTTTCTGTAAAAGTTATGATCAAAAAATTTCAAAATAATTTTAGATTCTAAGTGGAGTGATATGTGTTGATTTTACAATGATGATTTGTTTTTTGTATGTTTGTCATCCCTTTTTGGGGCAGTAAAAATGATTCGAATTTCTTCAAAAGCATATTTTCTTTTACTATAGAAAAGTGAATCTAGTTGGTGCAATCTGCATTCAAGAGGTAAAAATTTTAAATATCCATAATAGTTTACAAAAGTGGTAAGGAAAACAAACAAAAATTAATGAAAAACTGAGATTTTTACTGCACAAAACCAATTTTCGAAAAATTCGATTGTGTTTGTTATTAGTGTAACTCGAAAACTAAAAAGAACTGCATATAGATGAAATGTTCACTGAATGTTTATACAAGCAATTTCCACGCATCATAMCATTTTCGAAACCTTTTTAAGATATTTATAAGCATATGAAAAATTCGAATTTTTAYTATGGAATAAAAAATCAAAAAACGGAAAATTTCATAAAATATATAGATAAATAACTTAAAAATTGTTAAAATATTTTGAAAATTTTATCAAATATAAAATTGATAAAATAAACATATAGAGTACATTTCAAGTTTATTTAGTTCATTTTCAAGATATTCGTTTTYGAATAACAAAAACATAAGAATATAGGTAAGTACAAGAAAAATTAGCGAATATCCAATGTTGTAATTCAAATGCTCATAAAAATTTAATTTGACTTGAAAAGTAGACATTTTTTATTTGATAGAAGTAGGAAAACTCATTAGAATCTTGTATTGAATTTTAAAATCTTAGATTTAAGAGAATACATTTTTATGAATTTCTAATTCAAAATAAATTGCACATTTTTGAGGTTTTTTTGTRTTTGGTTATAATTCGAACTGAAAATGCTTATCAAAATAAATTGTGACTATACATTTTTAATATTTTTTAGCTACATTATAACAATAAATTAAGAGACTTGTAATATATTTTGAAGTTTTTATAGGTACCCAGCGAATACAATTTTATTGTGATTTATAAAAGAAAACTGAATAAATTGAAATTTTCAAATGTTTATAAATAACTTAAAAAGATTTGAAATATTTTGAAAATTTTTGAAGTATAGAAAATGTCAGTATAAGCATTCAGTGAAAAATGTATGTGTCTACGATAATTTGTTTTAGAGTTACACCAATATCTAACATTATCTCAAAAATTGATTTTACGTAAAAAATCCCGTTTTTCCTTATTTTTTTTCTCCCATTGCTTATACTCKTAAAAACTATTAGGAATTTTAAAATTTGACCTTCCAAATGCACCAACTAGATTCAATWTCCATTTTTCCAAACGAAAAAACTAATTAAGTTAAAAAACAATAATGATAAATAAAAAACACACATCATTGTAAAATCAATCCGTTAGAATCTAGTATAAATAATAAAAGTATATTATTTTTGAAATTTTTTTTTTTAATTTTAACCTATAAATTAATTAACAAATTTTCATACGATTTTCTGATTCTAATGTAAATCAAAAACCATTTACCGTAGTCTGTAACTCCATAAGTATTTGAAATTTTCATAAGATGTTTATGTTTGTTAGGTACTCATTGAGATACAAAGGTTTCCAAAAAATATCAAACATTTACTTTTATCATACTGCTTCTAAGATGGAACTTAATCCAGTTTAAACTTAGAAAAAAATCATAAACATATTATTATGGTTAAGTTAAATAACTCATTAAATCATTGTRTACATCCATAATTTATAGTTATCTTATTGCTAGCTACTCTCGATCTTATTATTACCTATTGGCTATTAGGAACTTGCCAAGTTAGTTATTTCACCCGCACAGCCGAACTTGTTCAATTGGTTAAAAGTTAGAGGTAGTTATAGGTAATAGCTTATTATAATTATATAGTAGGTAAATCGTACGAATTCAGCAGAGCGATGAATGTATTGATTTTACAACGATGTGTGTTTTTTTTTTCGTATCTGTATACACGATTAGTTGTCGAAATAGTGTTTCGATTTTCAACTTCAGTAGCTTTTTCCGCTTGGAAAGTGAATCCAATTGGTGCACTAGAGAGTTCAAATTTTGAAATTCC